TATAACAACTATTGTTATTTCCTTATAAATATGAAAGACATTATTTGTAGTCTGAAAATAAGACTTATTTTTTAAGATAATATAGTTCAACAAATTTGTACCCTGAATGATTAAGATTAAAATTAAGATGCTCATCATTACAGTTAATGAAAAATTGTGAAGAAATGAAAACATATTTTTAAGATACTTTCACATCTGGTGAAAGCAGGTTATGTTTTATTATGTTCGAACATGCAAAACAAATGACAAGATTTAAAGATTTCTTATCAATATTGGAGAATGTCTTAAATGCTGAGACTCACTAGTTAACTATGACGACTACTTTACCACTTATTGAGAAGAGACAGAATGGAGTAGAGGATACAAGAACTGGCATTTTTACAAGTTGCTGCCTCAAATTCACGGAACCCTGACTCTACTTTCCCTTTCCTTTCTGAGACAGAGTCTACATTTGTCACCTGGGCTAGAGTACAATGGTGTCATCATGGCTTACAGCAATCTCAAACTCCTGGGCTTTGCCTCAGGACTACAGGGGCGTGCCACAAAGCCTGATTAAGTTTTCTAATTTTTTGTAGAAACCGGGTCTCGCTCTTCCTCAAGCTGGTCTTGAACTCCTGGCCTCAAGCAATCCTTCTGCCCTGGCTTCCCAAAGTGCTAGGGTTGTAAGTGTGACCCACTGCCCCTGACTCTAATTCATATAGATCTAAAAGTTTTAAACTTCATACATAAGACGAAAGGAACAAAGATTTGAATGAAAAATGAACTAGAAACTAATAAGGGGAATCTCCAAAGCTTGATTGCTACTTTTAACACAGCAGATTCCACACCTGAGGACTATAATGTAATTGTGAGACTTTATCAAATCATTAAAAAATAATTATGATAGGGATTAGTAAACCAAGATGTGTTAGACAAGCATCTATTATTAGTATCAATGCCAGAAAGCTCGTACTTTCACTACGGTAAGTAAAATTTAAATAGCAGATACTATCCCACATTCTATACATTATAATCTCACTTGTAAAATCTGTCACATTATGAACATTAAATATAAATCAGTGTTGAAAAGTCTGAGGTGCAGTGTTAATCTTTCAGCTTACTCAAAACGTTTCTCTGTAATACACTACTTAGTAGGGTATAAAACTAGTTGTAAATCATCTCCCATAAAAAATATACCTCCTGCATTAAAGGATTATTTTTTTAATGAACAGTATTTTCCAGGGAAGTCTTTTGTCATTGCTTCTTCCAAATCTCATTCTCCTAACTGTTTTTTGGGGGGAGACAATGGCTATCGAAAGGTAAGTGATAATATCAATACAAGTTCTTACTAAAGCTAAATAAGAATTGCAGAGGCTCTGAAATTGCTAAATGCACTAATAATCACTATTTGGAAATGGTTACTTACACGTACTGTAAGAGAACTAAGCACTTAGAGAGTATTTTAATTAATGTAATCATGCTAAATAAAATACATAGGGAAAGGAAACTAGTTTCGAGAATGCCCAGGGACGTTTGTATAGACATAAAAAGCTGTGACCACATTCTTGGCATTTAAAACCTATAAAAAGCAATAAATACAAATTCTAGGGTTCTAATCTTTAACAAGTCTGGAGTTAAAATGAGATATTTCATTTAAATTCAGACGTTCTTTTGCATAGAATGCTCACCAATCATCAGCTTCAGCTTCACTTTGATACCTGGCATGGCCATAATAAATCTTAATTATTTTATGTCTGAGTAACTGAGCTTATAGAATTATACTATATGGCACAAAAACTAAAATGTAGCTTTGCAAATGTGGGCCATTAAGTTTACAAAGCTAATCAACAGACAAAAGCAGTTTGATACTTGAACAGAAATAATTAGGACAGTAATGAAGGAACATGCTAGATCTGTTCTCCAAATACTGTATTTTAAAAAATGTTTTCCTAATATATCTCTTCAAAATCATGGTTGCTGGTAGGTTATAATTACGCATGCTTTATAGATTTATTAGGAGCAGGGAGCTGAGTTTCAAAGAAACAAATTCATGCTTTTAGTCATTATTTTCTACTTTACTATCCCGAAACTAAATCTTTCAAATTCTTTCATTAAACAGTCTAATACAGAATTAAATACATAACTGTTTACTCCCATCAATCTTGCTATTCCATTATAACTCGGCTATTTCTACAAATATGTCTCCAAATTAATTCTAAATTTTGAACCTAATTCTACTTGTTATCCTTACTACTCTAGTCAAATGAACATCCTTTAAATGAAGTCTTTTGTTTTTCCTCACATGAGGTCCTCTCCCTTACATGAAAGAAATACTTATTCTACATCTGCCAAGCATCCTTTCTTTTCTGCTTCAAAGAAAGACCCATCTGAAGAAGCTTTTTCATGCATTGTGAAACTTCATCTGTCTCAGGAGTGATTTTACTAGAGAAAACAGGCAATATGAAATGAAACTTCCTTTTAGATTATTAAAATAATTGAATCCAACTTAGAGATTTTCTTTATATCCTGAAGTCAGGTAAAAGCACATGCAAGTATGATTAGATGGACTTAGAGAATTATAAATCTTTTCTTCACATCTAAATTTCCCATCTCTTTTTCTGCACTGTCATCTGAGACAAACTACTGTGTAAATGACTTTGCAACAGATGGATTTAATCTCTATCCACACTTTCTCTGCTATGCAAGTATTACTATTAATGTTAGTATTTTACCTGAAGCAAAATCTCTGGGGTTTTGTACAATATTAATAAATGCATTCATGAGGAGGACAGTTACACGATTGTGCTCAATGTGTCATCTTAAGCCAATTTGGAAAAACTCAATATTATTGAATAATGATCAGTTAACGGAAGGTTTGTAATTTAAATAACTACTAATAAATACTTACCAGGGTAAGCATCAAAAGTAATTCTGTCTCCAGGAACAGCTCCATCAGGTGGAGCCAGTATTTCAACCTTCTCCGGTGAACTAGCACACATCAGCATGGCTTGAGAGAGTACTCCCCTCATCTTTGCAGGTTTCAGGTTACAAAGTAAAATCACCATCCTATTTTGCATCTGTGTGAAACATAAGCTGTTGACTAAAGACGTCCAGAGGTTTAGAATAACCCTGTCTAGAACACATTAAGCTATACCCAATATGCTTAATATTAAGCATTCTACTATTGTGTGAATAAAATCTCTGTGTGTCTAAAATCTTTTGAACATTTATGCATATGCATTTTTCCCCTATACATTTGGTCATTTCCAATGCTATGTATAATTTAGTTTCTAATTTAAAAAAATCTATCATTTAATAACTCAGGCATTAACATATTATGATTAATATTATTATAGAAGTGAACAGAAATTTATTTAGTCTTCAAAGGTTGAAGTATCTTTATTGTTTCCCAAGCTAGCAAAAAGAAACACAGTACTTTAACTTCTTTCAGTGGAATCTAAATAAAAGATAGGAAAAAAAGGCGCTTACAACTCAAATTTCAAGTTCAAAATGAGCCTTTTTAGGGGATCCTACGAATAGTACTTTTCTTCAAACACTTCATATGTGAAAACGTCACATATGAAAACTCTGAAATGTTACAGCAAAAATGTGTCAGAACACCACCAGGGTTAGCAATTCTTTAAGGATCTGATGATACACATAGTTACAGCCCTTTTCCTTAGAAAAATATACAACCTGTAAAATTTGGTATCTACGTGTCTCTGCTTTATAGAATGCTTATTAGTACTATCATGATGGGTTAGATAAAGATGTTTATATGGTTTTGCTTATGGCTATGAATGGCAGCTTGTGGAAGAGAAGAAAAAGTTTCATAGTCTACAACTTAGAACAGAAAAGATGAAGCCCGAGGAGGAGTTTTTCCAATTTGAGCTGGCGCAAGATCAGTTGTTTCTTTCCCCTCGGGCTCCTTATGAGCCTAACCTCATAAAGAGTTATGAATGAGTCCTAGTCCTATTCAAGATGAGCATTAAAAAAAAGAAAAAAGGCACATATATGTGCCAAGTCTATCTCTTTTTTTCATAGATAAGGAGACCAACAAAGAAGTTTTTCTTTTTTCTTAATTCCATCTTCTTCCCCTCAATAGAGCAGCCAGAAGGATGGTATTAAATGTGAGGCAGACAATGTTACTACTTTGCTCAAAAACCCTTCAGTGGCTTTCATCTTACCCAGAATAAACACCTAACTCTACTTGGCGCCCTTATTTCTGATTTCACCTCCCGTAACATTCCTTCTTATTTATCCTGCTCTACCGTACTGAATTCCTGCTATTCTCTGAACATCTCAGGCATACATCTGTCCCAGGGGTGCCTGCAATGCTCTTCAGCCAGACGGATCCGTGACTTGTTTTCTTCATGTTCATAGCCCTTCACTCCAATGTCATTTTCTTTATGAGGTCTTCTGTGGGCACTTTATACAAAACAACAACGTTATCCTGGCTTCAATACTTCTTGAATTCCTTCACTACTTTTCTCTTGGTATTTATGACTATTTGGTATACTATATATTTACTTATTTCTTACTAATTTCATGACTACTTTGTAGAAATGAGAGCTCCAGAAGGCAGGGCTATTTTTTTTTTTAACCTGTCATACCTCTATCGTATCTATTTTAAATTGTTGCTGTATCCTTTGTCTAAAATAATGCTTGCGGTACACTGCAAGTCCCCAGTAAGTATTTGGATCTATAAGTATAAATGAATGTGCAGGGGGATTTGTCCAAGTTCATAAAGCCAAGAAGCAGCACAGTGGCAAGGAACAGAGGCAGTCATCTTAGTGTTGAAGTCTGTATTTTTTGGCAGTAACTCTGAAGCAGCATGGGGCAGAGATAGGTAGAGAATACAAATTACTTACTCTTTCTAGAAGACACCTAGAAAGAGCCAATTAAAAACTGTTACTACCTTTGATTCTTTCTACTGTTAATTAAATACATTTTGAAAGAACATTTAATTCTTGAAGAAAATAAATGGGGTACTCCAAAGTCAAAAGAAAAGAAGGAAGGAAGCAAATGTGTTGAGAAGAGGACCCGAAAGCTTTCACGGAAAAAAACAGCAAGTTAGAAAAACGCTGCCTTGAAGGAAATCAATATAGAGTATTAATTTGCTTGTATAGTGGTTATCAAGCAAGGTTATCCTGCATAAACTATACCACCATACTTTTCACATATCCCAAACGCCCAGCTCTACTTCTACGACAGAAACAACTACATTTTGAATAGGGAATAATATAAACTGTAGCCATGGTTTGTCTTCTAAAATATCACTACATAAAAGCACACTTCTTGGTGCCAAACACACCAGAACAGAGGAAAAGGTGAGATTAACTTTGACCTCCTCCTCACTATCAATTTCTTTTAGAACTACTTAAAACTCAAACTTTTCTCATCCAGATAAGTATTGAAGACCTAAAAGAAATGAGTTTGTGAAGTAGGAAGGGTAAGAAATTACCTCCTTGGACTTTTGATGACGGGCCAGTATTGATTCATTACCTGTACTATGTTCCAGCTATGCAGAAATTAGAGAATAAAACAATGGGCCAGACCAGAGATGAAAACACAGATTGTCTGCCAGGCCGGTGAAGGAAATGAGTAAGGCCCCCCAGACAGAAAACACCAATCGCACTCTTCTTGTTTGCTGAGACACGGTATGAGAGGCAGTTCACGCTCCTCTTCCCCTTCCGTAAGTATAACACTAGCAGGAGAGTGATGATAAATAACCAAACAATCACAGCTGGCCCTCCACCTCTACTATGGAACGGTGGCAACTGTGGTGGGGAGTGCACCTTCCACCTAAGGCGGCATCCACTACTAAGCATCAGCCAATTTCTGCCTTGAAAAAAAGCAAGAGGATGAATTATCACCATGAAAGATAAACTACAACTTTCTGGGCCTGCTCTCATTCCATGGCCCAACGGTTTGTAATTTATGACTTCTATCCCATGTATGGCACTAAAATCTGCATAGTACCTACAATTATAAGAGCTTTATGACTGACTGATCCCTGTGTGAACGGTAAACGGGAAAGCTGATCAGTAGGGATTCACGGAGACCACCAGCCTTGGGGTACACATACACTACTTATGTATGCAAGCTGCTTCCCTTTCTGAAAGCTGTAAACAAGGATGTATGATATTGGGGCAGCACCTATGGCTCAAAAGGGTAGGACGCCAGCCCCATATGCTGGAGGTGGCAGGTTCAAACCCAGCCCAGGCCAAAAAAAAAAAAGGATATATGATGCTACTTAACACAGAGTTGTATATAGGTATGTATATATATATATCAATAACAGTAAATAAAGTAGCATATTCAAAACTTATATATTAGTACTTTAAAAACAATAGCCATCACAATCATTATTTTTATTGTTTCATCATGGAATTTTATTATTTCTTAAATTTTTTTAAAATCACCGTTATATGAACTCAAAAAATACCAATCTAAAAGTATGAGAACAAGTTTTATTTCTTCAAAACTCAAGAAATATTTTCACACTTGAGGGATCAGAGATTGAACTTATAATTTTTAATGGCATTCCTTTTTTGTTAAAAATTAGGTGTTTTGTATTTTGTTGTGACTTAGATATTTTAAAATGTACAGATAGGTTTTTATAGAAAAACAGAAAAATAAAAACCATGTAAAAGGAAAAATAAAAAAAAATTCAGAACATCTTTTATCTTCCTAGCCTCTTGAATTAAGTGATCTTAATTTACAGATCTTTTGCAGGTTTTTGGTGGTTTTATGCACTTTTTTTGTTGCCTCCACCATATTCAAACTCATCAGCTAACCCAATCAGCACTGGCTCCTGTCCTATGTTCAACTGATGGGAAATTATAAAGGAAAGACATCAAGAGAGAGGGGACCAAGGTGATACGTGTACGCAGTGGTAATTTTAGTTGCACAGATTACCTGTTCAAGAGGAACATGATTCACCAGGCCACTGACAACTGTTCTAGGGGCTGTTTCTCCAACATCGATCTCTTCTACATACAAGGAATCTGCATCAGGGTGTTTTTTGGCAGTTACGATGCAACCAATTCGAAGATCCAGACGGGAAACATCGATTGGCTTGGAGTCGGCACCTCCCGCTACTGACTGCTGTTTTTTCTCCTTTTTCTCTCCTAAAAAAAGCATTCATGAATGAGTGAACATCAGAAAGAAAACAAAAGTACACTATAAAAATCTCATGGCATCAATACTGATGAGCTTTAAAAAAAAAAAAGAATATTTATCTGCTAACTTCAATTAAATAATAACAAAGGAAAGAATTATTCAAGTCATAAGTCCTGAACGCTTTTTTACCTATTTCCTTATTATCTGTGTAGTTAAAAGACACAATGCGAAGGTTGGCAAACCAGCCGGATGCCTGTTTTTCTAAGTACAATTTTTTGGAATACAACCATATTCATTCATTTACATATTATCTATGGATATTGTCACACTAGGATAGAGTTGAGTAGTTGTAACAGATATTGTTGCCCCAAACGCCTAATATATTTACTATATGGCATGCTGCAGAAAATGTTTGTAGACACACAGCCTTAGAAAATCCTTCCAAAACCTTTAGTGTGACTCTTTGGAGAGTGAAAAACCCTTTACTTAGAAAGAACATTATAACCAGTAGCCAAATGACAGAATGAACTACAGCAAGACAAAATTTCACTAATAAACTGTTTTCCTCATCATCTATACACACAAATGAATATAAAATGAATTTCTCCAATTTTTACATTTCCCTGAAGATTTAGGAGGACTTTAGGTTTATCCACAGCAATTATTTTGTTTTGCCTTAACAGAAGGGGACCAGCCTCCTGTGGGACTATTGGTACATACCAACAAATCCTACTTTTGATTAAGTTTCAATAATTCTACTTTCATTTATATGCTGATTATGTAACTCCTACTAAGGATTCCTACTAAGAATATGAATCCCACTAAGGAAAATGTTTGGAAAGGATTTTTTAAAAAGGATTCATATTCCTTTACAATCAGGTTCTCTGCCAAAAAAATAAATAAAAATTTATTTACCTTCCAAGGCAGAGATAAACTACTGTGCATGGAAGAAGTCCTTCTCCACTATACATTCATTTAATTTTTTTAACAAGTACTTATTGGGTGCTAAGGCAAAAGAAGTAGTACAAAGAGTGGCCCACGCCGTCAAGGACTCAAAATCTCTTTTAAGGACCACAGATACATATGTATCAGATATGCATTAAATATTACATACAAAGAAACTGAGAAACACAGAGAAGAATGCTTCTGCACAGAGCGGGCAAGGACGATTCTGTGTAAAGGATATTCAAAATTTATACAAGGTTTACAAAAGAGTAGATGGAGCTTGTTTAAAGTATTTTAGACTATTTTTAATCTCATTAGCAAGCTTTAGGGAAAAAAAAGCCATTTTCAATGTAACAAATTAGTAAAGGTTTTTTAAATGGAAAAAACTCAAATGACATAGAAAAACATATATAAAACTACCAGAAAAAAATATATCGGAAATCTTAACAGTTATCTTTGTGTGACAAACTATGTAAATATACTTTAAAATACTATAACAGTATGATACAGCTATATCCATATTTATCTTTAACATTATTCTACTTTCCCGGTATTTAAAATACCTTTACCTAGAATCCACATTCCAGAGGTGATTGCAAATACTAAATCTATACGAGAGTTTTGTTAATTATCATAAAAGATTTTAGAAATGTTTAACTGACAAATGAGTAATAGATGCTCACTCAAGATATATGGTGATCTGGACCATATGGGCATTACAGTACTGTATGAGCAGAAGGCTGGAATCTGGCAATCTGGGCAGCCAAATACCTACGGAACAGCAATCTATGGCTGGTACTGTCACATACGGCTATTTACATTTAGGTTTAAAATAATTGACACTAAATTAAAAATTCGGTTTAGTCACACTAACCACATTTGAAATCCTCAACAGCCTCATGCGGCTTCTAGTTACTATCTTGGACAACGCGGACACAGAGCATTCCCATCATCATAGAAAGTTCCACTGGACAGGGTGTTCTACAACTTGAGCTCTATTTGGTTTTGTGTGCTCCCCTTTCCCCTAGAGGAGGGGAAGACTGATTAACCATGACAAGAGAATAACAGTGCATCCTCCTTCGAGAACAAAGTATGAACCTCATCAAATTAGTAATAGTAGGTTTTGTGTCTACTTAATAGATTTTATGAAGTAGAAGAATTAATTTGAACTGTTTCCATTGTACTCATACCACCTAGTGGTGAAGTTGCAGAGAGGATGTGCAGCCCCTCCTACTTCTAACAGAGGCTACTGATGTTTACTAAAAGGACCTGACAAGGGCTGGATGCTAAATTGGCTGTTAGTTCACAAATCCCTCAGCCATTTTATATTTTTTTAAAAAACTGACTAGTAGTATATTGAAAGGTATCCATAACGAATTAAAAAAGCACTTTTTAAGACATGTGGGGAAATGAAGTCTAACAAGGAGTGAAGGAAACTTGTTAAAAAGGGAGTCAGATTTGTGATTAGAAAAAGAACTTTGGTAGCAAGGTAAATGATAAACTAGCAAGGATAAGGCTTTAACATTAATTCAGATAAATTAACTTGAAACTTGAATTGAGTTAAAAGAGCAGAACTGGATTCTAAATGTTTTGGTGAAAAGAATTATAGGCCTAGTTGGTTAATTAGACATGAAAACTGAAGAAGATTAAGATTGACTGTTGGAGCTTTCGATTATGGTTGCCTGAGTGAATGGAGATTCTACTTCAGTTGCTTTTATTGCTTTGTTCTTTAAAAGAGAGCACATCTCAGGCAGGTGCAGTGGCTCATGCCTGTAATCCCAGCACTCTGAGAGGCCAAGGAGGGCGGATCACCTGAGATCAGAGTTTAACACCAGCCTGAGCTAAAGCAAGACCCTCATCTGTAAAAATAGCCGGGCGCTGTGGCAGGTGCCTGTAGTCCCAGCTACTGGGGAGGCTGAGGCAAGAGAACTGATTGAGCCCAAGAGTCTGAGGTTGCTGTGAGCTATGATGCGATGGCACTCTATGAGGGGCGACAAAGTGAGACTCTATATCAACCAAAAAAAGAGAGAGAGAGAGAGAGAGAGAGAGAGAAGCCACCTCCTTCTGTTGCAGAATAGTTGTGTGATTATAGCAAACTGCAGCCTGGAACTCTGATCCCAAGCAATTCTCCTCTTACCCTCCCAAGCAGCTGGGACTACAAGTGCACATCACCATGCTAAGAATACTTTTTTTTTTTTTTTTTTGCAGCTTTTGCCCGGGGCTGGGCTTGAATTCACCACTTCCAGTACATGGGGCTGGTGCCCTACTCCTCTGAGCCACAGGAGCCACCCAGGCATACTTTTTATGTTTTGCACAGACAAGGTCTCGCTATGTTTCTCAGTCTGGTCTCAAATTTCTGGGCTCAAGTGATCCTTCCACTTTGGCCTCTCAAACAGCTGGTTTACAGCTGTGAGCCACTATGCCTAGTTCTACTTCAGTTCTTATGGGTTCCTAAAATCTTAACACCTTCATGCCTCAGTTCAGACATCATGCTTGGCTAGAATGTCTTTCGTATCTTCACAACTGGTTCTAAGCTAACTTCCTACCTGTGAGTTCTTTGAAACTATGCCCCAAATATACACCAAAAGTCAGTCACTCCAAACTACATGTGGGATCCTACACTTAATACCTACTTTCTGTGGCTTTCCTTGGGTTGGTTCCTCAGCTTAAAGTGCCATACCTTGACCCTGTTGACTTGGACAACATTTACACATCTTTTAGGACCGGTTTGTATATTCCAGAATCATTTTTCCTGATTTTACAAGCATGCTAGCCTTAAATGTTTGAACTTCATGATACCTTTTTTTATTTTTTTAAGACAGAGTCTCACACTTTACCCTGCCTTCAGAGCCTATAGCATCTTCGGGACTTAGGCAATCCTCTTGCCTCAGCCTCCTGAGTAGCGGAGACTATAGGCGTGTGCCATTTTTAGTAGATATGGGGTTTGGCTTTTGCTCAGGCAGATCTCAAACTCTTCAGCTCACGTAATCCACCTGCTTCCCATAGTGTTAGGATTACAGGTGTGAGCCACTGTGCCTGAGGGATACCTTTATTATCATCACCAAATATGTTGACATTATCTGATAAACCAGTTAAGAGCCATATAAGATAAAAGGTCCCAAATACCCTTCTTTTCTGTTTTCTCCTTTGCCTTCTTTTCTTCACCTGCTCCTCCTTTTACATGTTCTTTGGCACCAGAAGACATGGTGGTTACTGGTGTAGACTGTATCGTATTTTCAGAAACCACAGGATTAGCTCGCAGTGGAGTTCCCGATGGAAATGGTATTTGCTTCACTGACATACACAATGAAACAGATAATGTCATTTATATTAAAATCAACAAGATAAAAAATATGGAATTGTGAATCATAACTAGGAACTCTTTTTCAAAGAAAAGTTCACTATAGATAACTATCAAGTATCTCCTATTCAAGACTGTAGAAAGCCTGCCAAGAAATTAAGTATATGTTAACCATTACTGAGATAAAAGAGTAAAGGCATGATTCTCATTTAAGTACTAAATTGATAAAATTGCAGATAACAAAAATAATAGCTAACATTTATTATGGACCATGTCCCAAATACTTTTCGAAATGCACGATATGAATTAACTCATGCAATTCTCATGTATAACCTAAGAAAAACATTCTATTCATGTCCCTATTTTACAAATGATAAATCTGAGCCATCCAGAAGTTAAGAAATTGGTCCCCCACAGATAGTGAGTAGAGGAATAAAAATTTACCCCCTGACAATCTCTTCCCAGAGACTACACTTTCAGGGTCTGGCATGATTGCAAGTTTTTCTCTCAGGTTTTCTATCCTATTTGACAGTCAACTAGGAAAGCATTTTAATACTAGTTATTTCTATTCTAGAATGGAGAGGCTGTATTACTTGTCCACAATTCTACTTCAAACAACTTTTTAAAGAAGCAAAGTCTACAGCAATGTTTTAAGATGTTAAAAACAATTCACACAACCCAGTAACACAGAAAAATAAAATCTCATGAGGGATTTTGATGTGGCTTAGATTCTGGCCAATATCCAGACCACTTTTCGGAGGTTTTTTTTTAACTTTCTGAGGTATTTTTTAACTTCCCTGGAAGGTATGGCATCTTTAATAATGTGAATACTGATTCATCACTTTAATTTAACCTACTGTCCTGGTTTAGCATTTCATTAATAAAATTAGTTTAAAATTTAAATGCTTTTAGGGACAGTCTTCAAACCCTGGAAGAAATGAAAAGCAGTTTTAAGTAGGTAATATTTTAACACTCATTTAATCCCATACCAGTATTCCAAATCTAGTAGTCTTGGAAACCATCAACTTAGATTATTCTCTCTAGTTGATAGCTCTAATACATCATTGATTTTTCTCTTATTTTTATTTAGCTAACTAACTGTAGAATTCATGCTACAACTTTCAAAATAACTCACTGATAGAGTAACAGTCGCAAGGAAACAATAAGAGGATTTTACGATCCTAGGTTCTCCTTAATTCACCCAGAATTTTCTACAGTCCAATCAAATGCCTTTCAAATGCCTTTCTGTGTGGTCCTTTGCAATTTTAACTATGATTATTATTATCATTGTATTATAATAACGTAAATTTACTTAGCAACTTTCAAAATAATTCAATAAAGTTTTACATTTTATTTACAATATAATAGTTGAAATGGTAATTATTTGCTGACTTGAGTAGCTTCGGAATTATATGATTTCTGGAAATGATTTTATAGGTCTAGATTCAATTGCTTCATAAATAAAAAAATTGTGTATAAGTGTTTTTAAGGAAAAATTGATGCATGTGAAGAACGTGGTACACACCATTCCACATGTAGTAAGTGTTAATAAATGTTAAGTAAATAGCATTATGGCTAATTTTTAAGTATTCAACAGGGAACAGTGATAATCAAGTTGAAGTATAGTACAAAATTTAAAATAATGGGTTTTCTCACTTTGCTACTTTTGTGTGATCTCAGGCATTTTCTTTTCTGTAAAGCAGGAAGTGTATACATGCACAGGAGAGCTCATGTGAGGATGAGAAAAAGCATAAGGCTTAATAAACAATAAATGACACACTTATTATCAGAAATCAAAATAACCCATCATTTCTGAATCTAATTACCCCCATTTTGAATTTCTGCCTGAATTAGCTCTTGTTTCAGTTCTTCAATTTCTTTCTTCAATTTAGCATTTTCAACTCGAAGTTTCTTCTCTTCTCTCAAGGTTGCCTGCAAAACTATGATCAAGAAAATCCAGTTAATATACGTGTTCTTTCAAAGATTTCAT